ATTATAATTTCTCACAAATCATAGATATTACTCACTCTGATGCAAGCACCGTCTTTCTCACAGAGGTCAACAACCAACTCTTGGTCAGCCCCCACGTGCCAAACAAGCATTGCCTTGCCCCAGTCAGCCCCCACGCCGCCTTCTCCTGCCTTTCTCACGAGCGACATTTGAAGATTTTGATCAGATTATTTCAATGTTTATTTTATGTTTATGTGTAGTTTATAATTAGTGGAATTTGATATGAGACGAAAAATGAGAATTTTTTCGGTTGATTATTTGTTTATGAATTTTGGAATATTCATTTTTTTACGAAAACTTGGTGTGCTTGAATCCATTTTGACGAATAACTTGGTGTTGTTTTGGTATTCATTTTTTTGTAGATGTTAATTAGTTCAAGTTTGAAATTAAAATTAGCGAAGAAGAAGAGGTAGAGGCTGAGAAAGGTCAAAACATCCGAGGCCGTGAAGAAGAAGAAGAATATCATGACGGTTTTTTTGAATATTTTTCATTTGATTTATTTTGGAGTATACGTACAGTATATCTACAGTATATGTACAGTATATGTTACAGCAATATATGTTGGATGTTGCAGATATATACAAACAGTATATGTGGTGTGTATAGGGAGTATATGTTGAGTATATTAGAAGATCTTTTTGTAAATTGTTCGGTGTATGTTTTGTGTATAGAAAATTTATATTCAGTATATTAGAAGATTTTTTTGGTAACTTGTTATAATATATTTATAAACTATATATATACTTTTATGTATAAAAGTAAAAAAAAAAAAAAAAAAAAAAAAAAGATGTAATGTTTTTATGGAAGACATGTTTTTTATTGCAACATATACTGAATATATATCAACATAAACCCAACATATACCCACTGGACAACTGTGTGAATTATCTCTTTCTATATTAAAAATGTACAAGTGCGCGAATTAAGGAATTAAATTAGTTATTATAAGAATATTTTTCATTTCTCTCTCCTAATCAATCCCATAAAAAGGGGGATAGATGTTGAAATAATATAGTAAATGATTTAGGCATTTATATAAATAAATAAAGTGTTTTAGGTAAAGATATAATTATTAATATAGATATGGTAGAGTCGTAAATAAGTTAAAATCACATAGCACATCTGAAAATTTCCCTTTAGATTTATTTACGGAAAAAGAAAATAACACGTCACATGGGAATTATAAAAAGAGCCGAGAGACATCCCAGATAAGGGGATTACAGAATTAGCAGAAAAAGAAACAAAGCTGCACGCAGAAGCGGAGAAGAAAGCAGTAAACGCACGGACGGGGAAGAAGGTTACACACGTGGAGGGAAGCCACACTCACACACGAGGGAGAATTTTATTCTCTCTCTTTTATCTAGTTTTTATTTTATTAATATGTTAGATTAGTATTTTTATCCAGTTTTAGGGGATGTTTGAACTCTAACTTGAATTTGTCTATGAATTTGAGGATTTGAATTTATCTTTGATTAATCGAGATGCCGTATTTATTTTGTTGATGAGTTGATTCATGTTATCTATTTATAATGTTTATAAATTATGGTGTTTGATTTAGTTTGACCAGTTAGGTTGAATATTCATAGTATTAATTGCTAGATTCGAGGCTTTAATCCATAATTGTTATTGTTCTCGTTTCGTTAGTAGTAAACTAGGGGTCATACATCCTTAGGGTAACATGAGCATAAGTTAAATGGTCCGAACTTACCCGTCTGTTGCTTAGACTAATCTATTTTCCTAGTAATTAATGCTGCTAGTGCACTAAATCTAGAGAGTTTATTCTAGGTTGCTCACTAGTTAGGTTTAGTCGAAGAGCTTATTTCGGTTAAATAATCGGTAAGGGAAAATTCGGTTAACAGAGCTTGTTGTTAGCTAGGGTTGGTAATTCATTAGCAATTTAAAGAAGGCGTCGAAAATTAGCGGTAGATTTAGACTGGGTGATAACTGAACTGAAAACTAGACTTCTCTTATTTTATTTGATTTTTTTATTTTATTTTATTTTACTAAACCAATCCCCCCTTTTATTGCTTTCGTACTAGTTCAATTAATATGAAATTTTTCACAATTTAATTCCTGCTCCTCGTGGGATCGACCCTTACTCGCCGCTACTACTAGTTAGTAGAGGTTAGTTGAGGAAAAAAAATATAAATATAAATATAAATTTATCGCGTCGCGACGCGCGGTCACAAGGCTGATTTTAACCAAGCATACCAGTTGCTCGACATCTTGGACAGGTACAAGCCTTTCACAAGACAAAGAGTAAATATGGACAAATTCTCTATTTTTTTTAGCAAGAACACTCCTAGACATATACAATCTTCAATTTACAGAGTTCTCGGTGGTATTCATGTTCATCAATCAACCAGGTACATTGGACTTCCTCAGGAAATACATAAGCTTTCTCTTTCATTCTGAATGTTGTGACAAGCAGACTCTTAGGTTTAAAGAACAAGTTTCTTTCATCAGCTGGGAAGGAAGTTTTCATTAGATTAGTGATTAATGCTCTTTTTGTGTTTGTTATGTCATGTTTCAATTTACCAATTAGCGTCTGTAAGGATATCTCAAGTCTAACTACTTTTGGTGGTCTAAAAGGGAAAATCGAGGGAAAGACATCCACTGGAAAGCTTGGAATCTGCTGGCTCAATCTAAGGAGCTTGGGGGTCCTGGATTTCATGATCTAAAACTTTTCAATGAGACACTCATAATGAAACAGTTGTCAAGACTGCTAACCTACCCTGACGGTCTAGTGAGTAAGGTTCTTAAGTGTAGAAACTTCCCCTCATTTTTTGGATGATATTTGATTTACAGAATACATTTCACTCATAAAATCAGTGTTCCATCTTAAAATTCTAATTTCGTATCACTGTATTAAAAGAGAATGAGTGTGCAATAACTCATATAATAAACTATAATTCATTCTAATAACACTTATTTATCATTAAACACGAGATAATATTTTTTAATATTATTATCCAATATAAGTAAAAAAAAGATGTATGTTAAAAACATTAATACCAATATAAATATAAACGATTGGTCTAAACCATAACTTTTCAATCTGGATTGGCCAACAAGTGGGAGCTTCGGGCCGAATGACTTTAGACCCGATCAAAACCCATCCAATCTAGCATGACCTTGGCACCGACCAACGCGACCAACCCTGTTTGAACCAATCATTTTTTTTTTATGTTTTTATAATATGTTTTATTTTAAAAATAAAAATTATGTATAAATATTTTATATAATATAAATTATTAACACTTTGATGTATAAAAATATATACAAAGTATTTATTTCTATTAAATTTTGCTATATTAATATGATAAAAATATTGTATGTATAATTTTTAAAGTTTAAAATTAATTGTTCAGTGTAACAATTGACCCGGTTCAACTGGTAACCCAGTAACCTGGAGGCTAGAACCGAGATTAAAAACTATATGCAATAAACCGAATAATAAATAAAGAAATAAATATTATATTATTTATTTGATATTTTTATACATTGGAAGACGAATATACTATCTTTAAATAATAAGAAGAATCCATAAAATTCAAGCTTCTTCAACCCTAAAAAAACCCCCCAAACGCTCATGGTGGCAGCTCTTCATTCTGCCAAACCCCTTCCAACGGCCCAACCCAAAAGACTCTTCTCCTTCATCTCCTCTGCTTCACTTCGTGCACGCATTTGCGTACACGCACACAACACAGTCTTTGTACACTGAGATGCTCTACGGCGATGCTGATGCTGCTGCGCAGAAGCCCCGCCGCCCCGCCTATCCCACCCCATAGCAGCCTCCTCTCTCTACCCCTCTCCTGTTCTA